CCTTCGCGCCCTTCCTCGGCCCCGCGTACCTCGGCCCCTTCTACGCCCCGCACCTCTGAGTGCCCTCAGCCCCTTCGCTTCTGGAAGTGCGAGAAAGTTGATCTTGGTGTTGGTTTTATTTCTCCTCGGCGTCGCGGCAGCATGTTTAAGGTACATACTTGGACAAAGAGAAAAAACCCAAAACCTCACCCCGCTGTAACTGCTGGATTTTATTAGCACGTCTGAGATGTCATTGTAGACGTTGGAGATGGGAAAGGCAACCCTCTTCACACATGCCTGACACTAATTCCCGCCAGACTGTTCTCCAAGCTCCTTTTTCAACCGCTCCTCATCGCTGGCTGGCTTGTCAGCACACGTCCCGGCGCTCGGGAGCTGCGGTGCTCGTTACCACCACCCTTATCCTGGTGCTGACGCTGGCGCACGCGGCCGTTTCAAACCCCAGGGATGCTCGCCAGCGAAGACGTCCCCAGCCTCGGCTTTTGCTCCTGGGACTCGGCTGTGCCCTCTTCCACCCACGTCTTACCACCGTTACCGACTTCTGGCCTGAAAACCGCGAGCCGTGTACGTGGTACCCTGCCTGGGTGACAGAGGGGTTGGGGGTTTTTTTGTCGGGGAAGGTGTAGGCAACCGCAGCTCCGTGTCATCGGGTGACGAGCGGAACATCTGCCCGGTCAGTGGGAAAGTATTCCGCTGCTGCAGACGTACGCGGCCGCTCTGCGTTCCCTTTCAGCTCGTTCTCAGCGACTTCAGAGGTTTGGGGATGAGATGTCTAAAGATCGCTCTTTTTGCAGAGAACAGTTGTTCGTGTAATAACACAGCGTTAGTGCCAAATGAGGCAGAAAAGATAAATCAGAGAAAATTATTACATTATTCATTTCTTTAAAAATGGGGCATTTGTGGTAGAAAATAAGTAAAATGCAGAATTTCCAGCATGCCGAGACCTATTTTCCATAACAGAGAAACACATGCTTTTTCTTTTTTGCTTTTTTGGAGCATTTGTTAGAAAGGAAAATCACATTTCATCTTCATCGTTACAAGCACCGGAATGAAAAGGAATTGTAGCTGGGGGCTTATCCATTCCTGAACGGACGGGCAGTAATTGGTTTCAAAAAAACCCTGTCTCACAGGGTTTTACAGATTATTGCAACACGCTGCTCAAGACGGTGTCCTCTCGGCCTCTTACAATACTTTAAAGCACACATTGGCTCTCCAACCAAAAAACTTAGCTCATAAATCCTATCTAGCTCTTCTTGTGTCTGTCTAAATAAAAAGGTTTTTTAAATTACTTCAGATTTAATTGTTTTTCATTGTACACTAGGTAGCAGTGTTTGCTTCCCGGACTGCTCCCTGCTGGGTGTGGGTCTGGGCAGTGCCCCGTGTCAGCGGCCGCGGGCCGGCTGCCGGAGGGGCTGCCCGGGGC